GCCATCGCTACTAGGGTGGAGGCTATTGCTACTAGGGTGGAGGCCATCGCTACTAAGGGGGAGGCTATTGGCTATTGCTACTAGGGCGGAGGCCATTGCTAGGTTGGACTAGCGGCGGCCGGAGGGGCAGTGCGTGGAGACCCGCGCGGGACAGTCGCGATTTTGCGGCGGGAAGCATCATGCCACATCGCAGGTGGAGCCACGGAAAAACGTTTGCGGGAGGCCTTTACAGAAATTGGGAAAAGCAATGATGAAATACCTTGTTATGGGGGAGCCACTGAGAGTAAAATAATCAAGACAAGCTCCACATTCAGCTAGGACGTAGGAGCTTGGACCGGACTGATCACGACAACAAGGTGAGAACATAATCATACATGCCCAGAGGCTCCATGTATGGAATATATATGCCTACATTGACCCCCCAAACCACCCCAACTGATCGGCATATATACCTACTGAGCCTTAGACCTGCTTTTTTTAAGGTTGAAAAACTAAAACCTATCTTTATTCACAATGAATGATAAAAACATATCTAATCAAAAAAAATATGTTTTTCTCATATGTCCATGAATGATGCATGTTTTAACCCTGACAAAGACCATGCATACAATATATATCAACCAGATCGGGTGTTCGTCGTTCGGAGTCGTTCGTGACCTTGAACATGTGTGAGTTGAAGCCGCTCACAGAAGAACCCATGAGGAATGTGATTGGTTGTGTTTCCAATATCTTGAAACTTCATGGTTCAGTGATGCCACCAATCCCGGAACATCTTACTTTACAATCTGCCTTGGCTCCACTCCCAACTAGTTGATGTCACTCTGGAGCACAAGAGGCACTAACATGGAGCACTGTACTACCAAATTCTATCCCTTGACTTGGGGGTCTCCGGCCCATGTGTGCTTCCACCGACTTGGAGCTCAACTCCACTTCGAGGACGCCCGGCTCCCCATGTTTTTTCCGGCAGGGCTGGGCAAGATGGGTCTCCATTGTAGATGTCCTTGGCTCATGGCCCACATATGACCATTCTTCATAGATTATATTCTTGGCTGGGCTGTGGATAATTGAGATATGTGATGTTATTTTTAAACCACAAAAAAACCTCTGCTCTTGAGGCAAACCTATTGGGTATTTGCTGCGTGTTCATGTGAGCAGACTATACAGCACAAGAACTTTGTGCTCAAGTTAGGTGGTAGGTTTTGGTCATTCCCAGGTGCCATGAAGTGCACGGGGCTGTGTCTAAAGTGGGAGCAATGTGCGGAGCTTCGTGAACGCTTGCGTACGACCAAAGAGCTTTTGGTTGATCACAAGGATGGTCCCATTTGCCTACCAAATAGGCCAAATGCAGTGGCCAATGCTATGGTTCTTTCCCCAGTGCTTTCGGAGCTTGCCAACACAAGCAGGTTTCGTTTGCCACACTTGGATGATTTGAGCGTAGAAGTTACTTCATTGTTCGAAAAGTGTGGCCTGTCGCTGGGAAGCAAAGCCATCTACAAGAGCTCTGTGGAAATCAAGAAGCTGGCAGGCTTTGTGAAGCGGAGGTGTGCTCGCAAGGAAGTCACCAAGGAGATGGGTTGATGTAGTTATCCATGTCAACACTGCTGAATTTGTATAGTAGCATGCCATCCCACTTCTTGAAATACAACCTATACTTGTTTCAACATATAGTTGAAACTTGTTTTTGCTACAATACACCATGGTAAACTTTGGCAAAACCATACAACCTTGTCATTGCCCTTGCTAGGACACTGATTTCCATAAACTCCTCTTGTTGCTGGATCCCACTCTGCAGGACTGGGTGTGCACAAGACCAATTCCAATTTTGTTTTTGCTATGGTTTGCTGTTTTATGGAACCAACAAACTGGAACCAATATTTACTGTGGGCCCTTTGCAACCCTCCAGGAAACCATTGAAACGTACATGGCATCCAAGAAATCCTCAACTTCGTCCGCTTCCAAAGATTCTCCTGATGAAGATGATGTTGATGACAACAGTGCTGATGATGATGATGATGATGAAGATGAGTCGAAGAAGAAAGAAGGGTTTGAAGAGTTCAAGCAGTGGTTGGATGCCATCACACCAACAACCCTCGCTACACCACCAGCAAGTAAGCCTTCCCCTCCAAGTTGCCCTGGCCCTGATGCATTGGAGAGCATCTTGGTAGTGCTTTATGAATACTGTATATTTCTATTTTGTTAGTTGAAGTCGATATTATTTTCCATCAATATAACGCAACAAAATTGATCCATATGGGCTCATCAATCCTTGCCCTTTCCATCCCAGCTTCTGTCAAGGTACAGCGAGGGCAAAGCGTCTCAAAGAACTCCAGGAGCAGATTGCTTTGAAGAAGGCTGCGCTCCAAAGGCCACTTTCCTTTGCTCAGCGCAGCCAGAGTTTAGAGGAAAACAACCTCTATAACTAAAATGTTGGTGTAAGGTGTTTTGGCCTTTGGCTACAAACCAAGTAATGCAGGGCTTCCTTTGGTGTCCACCCTTGAGAGTGCAAACCAGTGGGGCACTACTGAGGAAGGCTCCTACTCCTCAACCATCCACTTCAGCAGTGACAGCTATGCCGCCACCGCCACCACCTCTGAAGAGCAAAGGTGCTGGGTTGATGAAACATGAACATATGAGAACACTTGGGACATAAACTGGGTAGCGTGTTCTATTTTCAAGAAATGAGGGATTTGGAGCCTAACAACCCCGTAGATCTTCATGTAACAAAACATATATAGATTGGTCAGCCACCCAAGTTCATTGGATAGCCCACAGTGTTCTAGTTAAACCTTGACACATCCTTCAACAATGCCATTCCATTCTAAAAGTTTTTGGATGATGTTTGGATGAGCTGTGGCTTAATCCTGCCAGGCCCATGCCAACCAGTGCCTGTGGCGAGTGATCATGATGAAACGCAGCCCATGTGCGATATGGCCACTGCCAGTGTGACTTTTGATTTGACTATGCCCGTGGATGGTGATGACCTGGTGGAACCAGAACAGGAGGATGGAGATGATCCTGCTGCTGGCGCCAAGGTTGGGGCTTCTATGTCTATTTTCATGTTGGTGTAAATGCAGGGTTCCACTGGCAAAGAACACTCTTCAAGTAGAGCTGCGCCCAACCCCAATTGACATTTGTTGTAAACGCTTTTGAACACTGTACTTTAGAATTTCCACATGGTCTTTGAGAAAAAACCTTTATAATTAACATTCTTGGTCAAAAATGACATCCAGAACACATAAACTGATGTGTGTTCCATCGCATATCTTTGGACCAACTGTCAAGGCTGCAGTGCTGACCCGTCGTCAGCAACTACAAGCCAAAGAGAGCAAAGAACAAAAGAGACAGGCAGAGCAGAAAGCCAAGAAGGAAGCGAAGAACAAGAAGAGTGAAGAGAAGGTTAAACAAGGACAGGATGAGGAACCAGAGAACCTTCCTGTCAAGAGGAAGCGTGGCCAGAAGAAAGAGGAAGCTGATGCTGAGTGCAGTGGTGAGAAGGGTGATGGAGAGGAGGTGCCCAAGAAACGGGGCAGGGCAAAGGCTCAACCCAAGGAAAAGGCTCAGCCAAAGGAAGAAGAACCGGGCCAAATGGCCAAACCCAAAGCAGAGCCCAAAGGCAAAGG